TTTTTAGCTATGTAGCTATTTTTAGCTATGTAGCTATTTTTAGCTATGTAGCTAACTTTAACTGTGTAGCTAGTTGATAGCTATTTGGCTAATTGTTGAAGCTATTTAGCTAATTTTTCGCTATTTAGCATATGTAGTCAACTTTTAGCTATTTAGCTGATTTTAGCACCTCGGCTAAAAATTTACTGTACAGCTAACCATTTAGCTAACCGATTTCAATGGTGTCGCACAGGTCGGCTCCATGCTCATCACACGGGTGGCCAACGCGGACCTGACCTGGTACAAGGACGTGGCCACGCAGGCCAGGATATCGCCGCACGCCGACCTCACCCTGGACGACCAGTCGGCGCGCCGCGCCATCACGCACCTCAACTTCATCCAGATGAAACGTGAGTCTCGGGGCGGTGCGATTGAGGGTGGCGGAGACAGAACGGCGATGATTGCGTAGCCGTCGTATAGCTGGAGGGAGAAAGGGGATGCCTCTCGAATTATCTGTTCGATAAATGTTACGTGCATTTATTTCCACCGTATTGTTCCCGACTGCTCGTGGGTTCGAGGAGGAGAAAGGGGGGGCAGAGGGGGGGGAGGACGACGGAAGTTGTTGCCAACTCGATGAACACGCTACTTAGTTTGTTTCGTTGTGCTTATTGTGTCTGTCGTTTTGGGAGGCGATTCAAGGCAGGAGACCTCTCCTCCTCCTCCTCTCCTTATTTTCGGGGGCGATACGCGAGGTCTCCCGTTCAACCCCCCGCGCTCTGCTGCTACCCCCTCCACTTTTTCTCTTGTTTGCGTCTCGAATGAGGAGCAACGCACTCCCGGGCCGAGCGGTGCGGAGCGGTGCGGAGCCGAGCTCGGCGCCGAGTTTGCGTGCAGCGCGCCATTACTCCCCGTTACCGGGCCTTTGTTCTGCATTGGTAATACACCGGCGGAATAACCGGCGTATACCCGGCGTACGCTGCTGCGGTTGCGAGTATAAACTTTAACAAAAGGATGAAAAAAAAAATTGAAAATTGTGCGCTGAACTGGGGGTGGGGGTGGGGAAGTGGACTTTCGCTCCCATCGTAAAATATATCGCCCAACAGCGTTTCCCATGTAGCACGGCGATATCGGGCGATGATGAATTGCCTGGAGGTTGGAGCGGCGATGACTTGGCGATATCATTTAAACACTATCGCCTGGCGGAGAGCGAGGCGACATCCTGTCGATGTCTACTTTAATACATACTTTTGTGGATATCTGTTCGATATTCTCTAAATAAAATGTACCAGATGTCGCCATGCTGTCGCTTACGTTTATCGCCTCGACCTACCGATGGTGTTTTCGCCCTGGCGATGGTGACACGATAACAAGTAGATATGGAAGTAGGATCAAATTAATGCTCGCCAAAACTCTATCGCTAGGATATCCGTCATTAGATGACGCTCAGGCGATAATTTTCCGATAACTATGCGCTGTGCAACTTTCCACCAAATTAACTTTTGGTGCCTAGAGTTATCGCCGCGATATGGGATAAAGTATGTCGCTCACCAGAT